GAACATAAACTGATCATTTAAACATGTCTCATATTTACTCCCAATAAACTAAAAATTCTAGATGGAAATTAGCTTCTTATCTTTGTAAATTTAATTTTTTTCATGATCTCATTTGTTTAATCCCAAAGAATCACAACAATCCTCGCAACAGTGGAATGCTCTAGGATCCGTTTGCGCAGAATGCAATAAAATTATGCTTAAATTTGGTGATTCATGTTGATTCTGCTTCAAAAAATCAGATGTAGGATGATAATGTTGGTCTTCTTCTCATAGACTTGGAAGAAAAATCCTTTTTTTAGGGGGGTTTTTCCCCAGAAAAATCCAGTCTAAAACACGTGGAAATCCTGAGTTCACTACAGGGAATTTCTCCCGGAAAATTAGGAAAAATGGGATGATTGTCAGGGAATGGAGAAAATCAAGAACTTTTGACACCATGTGGGCTGCATAAGGCAGAAAGAAACGAAGCTGTATTTTTGATTGCCAAATTTTATTGGGCAAATTAATTTTTTCCATTTCTGTGCAAATTTCATTGAATTTTCTGCATAGTAAGAAGAAAATTACTAAAAGCTTTCAATGGAACCTGCACAAAAGTTCTCTTTTAAAAAATTAAATTACCCAGTTAAATTTGGCAATAGCTAATGTTTTATTCCTTTCTGCTAAACGCTGTCCACTGCTGCAAAATGTATTTGTTTGCTAGATTTTGATCTCTTGTTATGACTCTCTTCATCTTTTTTATCCAACAGTTAGGAATGAAGTACCTAATTCGATAGTTCTAAAGAAATTCATAAGCCTTTTGATTGGTACTGTGCCTCAAAAAATTTGGTGTACTCACATCGCACAATCTATCTTCCAATGATTTCCATGTTCCTCTAGCCATACAAGGGACATTCATATGGGCGCACCATTCGTCCATATGGTCGTGGCCCCCACCATTAGCCATCGTAGCAATAACTGCCGCTCCATTGACTTCCTTTGCATCGCATGTGACAGTTTCAATGCGTCGCTCCTGATTGCAATGTTCACAGGCGAAAATTAGGACGCTTTTGAAGCCTCGTACTATCTCTCTTTGGAAGGAGAAGTGGCCATTCCGATTCTGTTCACATTCATGGCCCTCCAACTTCCTACTCTCCGTCACCAGATGCGCAATGTCCACAACACGCCTATACTTGAGAGCATCAATATTCTTGTCCAAACCAGCTGGTCTGCAGTATTCCACTGGAATGACGTGTTGCTCTACTTCTGCATCTCTGTAACATAGAAAGTAATTTTATGAGCTAAATCTGATGGAAAAAAACCCCTATTTTAACTGTGGAGAGAATGTTTATTCATTGCTGAAGTAAGTCAAAAATAAAATAATAAATTTTAAGGAAAGAAATTATCTATGATACTTAAATGTTCGGTTCCCTATGTGGTAAAAAATATTTCATCTTTTTCTACAAATACTGCTAACGATGAAATGCTGTATTGACATTATCATAAGCATTGTCCATTTGACAGTTTATTCTGGTATGTATGCTTCGATCCACTGGAATGTAATGCGGAGGAACTAAAAGCTTTTTAAAAGGTCCCGTACAAATTACCCTATTCGTTGCTTGACGTTGCTGATTTTTGTTATTAATCTTGGATGTGTTTTTATGGATCTATTTATTTATTCTGTGCTCTGTTTTTTTATTTGATTTTTTTCAATGCAAATAGTGGTTAAAACATGCCAGAAAATCAATTTAAAAAATATGAAAAATTTAATTTTCAATGGTCCAAATTTTAACAATTGTGCATTCGATTTTGGTCGATTTTTCCTTTGAAGATGAAATCTCACAGGAAGTATTTCTGCATCATCATTTGGAAATAGTTCGTTTTGGTACTCTCTGCAGCTGAAAATAATTATAAATGGTATCGTTACCTTCTTTGTTGCTCTTTTATTGGCGTAGGTGTACAAGGTTCATTTTCACTTTCACAGTTTGTGACCGTCAACCTTGGTCTTTTCCTCGGTTCATAAGTTGCTGTTTCTGCAGATCTGCAATGACAAAAAGAATGGCTTTCATGTATCTGTCGGAATGACTCCCTTCTTCTTTAAATCTTCTTTCACCCAAACCAATAAAAAATTGGGCCTCCCCCATCCCCCCGTTCTCCCTTTTTCTTTCAGCAGCTGTAAAAAGTAATGCAGTCATTTCAGGAATCACTATAGCAAATATGTTGTTGAAAACATTTGAATGGCCAAAGCTACTTCCACATTTGAATGTTAGCGGAAAATTTTTGGGGGGTTCTTTACCTTCGCAAAGCAAAATCTGGAGAAGGATCAGGAGATGTCATAGAAGCATCACTGTCAGTGTTCTCCTTCGTCCGTAAATCCGGAGATGCTGCAGGAGATGTAGTAGTAGTATGATCACCTTGGGATGAAACGTTTGATGGTGTCTTGCAATGTACTGAGCAAGCCTTTTTGCAAGCAGTGGTTTCAGCTGTATTTGAGTCATCCCTAGATTGACAGACAACATAAGAATAAATTTTCTTACTTGAAAGTAGTCAAAGAGTTGTAAAATGCGTAGCTACTTATCAAACGTCATATGAATGAGATGATATGAAGATTCTCTGACAGCTGGAGAATTTTGCCGTAGTAGAGTTTTATGTTTGACTTCTATACATCACCACAGATTTATTCTTGAAAGACCTTAAATGTGGCTTCATCTTTGTGAGTGCACTTTGCATGCAACTTTAATTTTTCTGAACATTAAGTACTTTTTTGAAGAGTAGTTTGGCTTCCTTTTGGAGAATATCGCTCAATTATCCAAGAGCTACTTTAAACAAATAAAAGTACAAGACTAATGAGGAAAAAGTGATCTAGGTGGAGAATCAGTGACTTACAAAACCTGAAATGGTATTGATTGCGAACGATTCCTACAGGCAGTAAGACTTCGCTGAATGTGTACAGCTATTGTATCATCTAATCCAGGCGACGTACTTGAACGCTCTGCTTCGTACTGGATCCGGCTAAATTAACAGAATGAATAAAAAATTATCATAAAAAGGCATCAATGAAAAAACATCTTTGAAAAGAAAGTTTTGCACAATTCGTTAAGGTCTAATGGATGCTGTAGATTAGGTTACATGGCAGAGCAGCATCTGAAGGGACTTTTTTCGAATCCATTCGTTTCCAGTACTTAGCTTTATCGAATTATTTATGTCTGTAAC